GTATCATAATCATAAACGAAAGTGTACCAAAGAATTATCAACAAACATCAACAACTGTGATAATTGTATAGAATGAGGAATACCTTGTGAATACAAACAACATAAGAAAAGAGAACCTAAACCTGGATATAAACTTGAATACAATTACCATCAACAGTATATTCAATGCTTAGAAAAGAAAGCTGAAACAACAACTGATCCCTGTTCCTAAACTATCTTAAACAACTTAAGCAACAAAATATTATTTAATGCAAAAACTATCTCCAAGAGAAGGAGTAATATACGAATATGAAAAAATACCCAACAGCTAACATTATTCAAATTAGCAATTATATTAATAATCCAAACAATAATTGAAACATCGACTGAACCTGAACATCTTAATAATATAATTAAAGAAAAAGATATTGAAAGAATATTCAACTTTAAATGAGAAACTATTTTACTCTATTGTTTTGGGGAAATACAATATCACCCAAAAGTTAGACAAATCCTATACCAAGTAGAACAGTACATAATCTACAATAACTTGAAAAACTTAACAACTACTATTTCTAGCTAACAACTAGAAGAAAAGGATATTATAACTAGAGATGGGTTTCATGCGTACGCATGATTCCTCAATCATGCGCATTTTATCACATCAAGATTTTATATAGAAAAATTAAAATATAAAATAAGTATGATTAACATTCTAATAAATGTTAAATTGATCCAATCTGGATTACAAGATCAATAATTGATTGTCTATCTAACCAAAATTAAAATTTTTCTATAACACAAATACAAATATTAGTTTGCGCCAAAATCTTTTATACTCTAATTTGTTATATATATATGTATTACAAAAAATTGTAAAACATATATATTTGTTGTAAAAAATAGCGTGAAAACTATTATAAATTTTTAAATTCTTTTTAAATTTTTGGCATTATTTAATTTTACAAATAAATGCCGCAAAATCTAGGTCTAGTTTATTTATATTATGATGATCTTGGTATAGTTCCTCCATTTAAACAACCAAGAGTTAAATGTAAATTTTGTCACACTTGTAATAAAACTCTCAACAAATGTGAATCACATCTAAAAGTTTGTCCTAAAATTGATAATGAAACTTATCAATCATATTTTGGTTATTCAAAAATAGCATCTTCACAAGTTGCTTCTCATTTATTAATAAATACTTCAAAAAAAACACTACAAAATAGAAATATTAAGAATTTTTTTGACAATATTACAACAAATGAACAAAATACTCTTGAATTTGGATTTGCAGAAGCTGTTTTTCAATGTGGTCTTTTTTTTTATTTTGTGAACTAGTTCCAATTCAAACCTGGATTAAAAAATTAAAACCTTCATTTAAATTACCTACAAGAAAAAAAATGGCTAATCAATTATTAGATGCTGTTTATAATGAGACTAAATTAAAAGTAGATAAAAGTATTGAAAATGCTGAATTTTTAACTTTGATTTGTGATGGATGGTAATTTTAA